ATGGATCCACTTTGTAATAAAAGAGTTAATTACTAGAATGACTTTGGAAAGTAGGGTAATTACTAGAATGATTTTGTCAAATCTAGTAACTTGACACAACTCGATAAAAGACAAATAAACTTTAATAATCTATTTTATTTACGCAACTGCCATCCTGAAACCTTAAAAAAAAAAAAACTTATAAATCTATCATAACTACCCAATAAGTCTATCACCACATGAATATGTTGGAAATTTTTTAAACCAATAAATAAAACATTTGTTTGAAACCACCGTCGCGGAGGCTGCGGAAGCACCGGATCGTGCTCGGCGAAGGTGGGGAGGCTGCAGAASCACCGAGATTTAGGMAAAAATTGAACTAAAAATCAAAAGTTGAAAAAAAAACTCAAAATCTTTTGATTTTTTGTTAGAAAATGGATATATGATGTTAGAWCTACTAGTTTTAGGCTAAACCCAGTTGAAAACAAATTAAAACACAGCAAAAACGAGCTAAAAATGAGTTGGCCGCCATTGTTAGGGTTTGACATAAGRTTYMGTGTGTTGGAGAAYATGAAGGGTAAATTACGATTTTGTCCTTCATTGAATAAATCTACCACTACTATAAATAAATATTATAAGTCTACCACTACTACAAATAAATCTACTACATATTATAAATCTACCACTACCACATATTATAAATCTACCACTATTATAAATAAATCTACCACAACTGTAATTAAGTAAAGTCATTCTAGTAAAACTCTGAAAAGATTTAATAAGTCTACCACAAAGACAAATAAGTCTACCAAATTTAATAAATCTACCACAACTTTAAACAAGTCTACCATCGAGCGAAACCAGAATTAAATCTACCACCACTAAATATAAGTCTATCAGATATTATAAATCTACCACTACTATAAATAAGTCTACCATCGCTAAACATTAATAAGTCTATCAATAAAAAAATTAAATCTACCATCACTACAAATAAGTCTACCTAAAATAAAATTAAGTCTACCAGTACTACAAATAAGTCTACCACATCTTATAAATCTATCACTACTATAAACAAGTCTACCATCGCGCAAACCATTAATAAGTCTACCACTACTACTAATAAGTCTATCACTCACAAATAAATCTACCATAACTATAAATAAGTCTACCATCGCACGAACCATCAATAAGTCTACCAATCACAACAATAAATCTACCACWACRACTAATAAGTCTARCACTCAAAAATAAATCTACCACAACTATAAATAAGTCTACCACTACAACGCATAAGTCTACCGTAACTACTCAATAAGTCTACCGTAACTATTCAATAAGTCTACCACAACTTACAATAAGTCTACCACTACTTACAATAAGTCTACCACTACTATAAACAAGTCTACCACTGCCTGCACCGTAATAAGTTTACCGACCACTTTATAAATCTACCACTATTACAAATAAGTCTATCGATCCCAAAATTAAGTCTACCAGTATTACGAATAAGTCTACCACATATTATAAATCTACCACAACTATAAATATGTCTACCATCGCGTACGCCGTAATAAGTCTACCAGACGTTTAATAAGTCTACCGTAACAGAATGGTAGACTTATTTAATTTTGGCGGGAAAAAATTTTGGCTTCATTAATGACAGTTTCGTAAATACATTTTTTGTCTTCAAATGAAATAAGGTTAATACAGGAATTAAAAAATTTTCAAGGTCATTCTGATAATATTCAAAGATAGAAGTCATTCTAGTCCAAATCTTTGTTTGACAAGGTCATTCTAGTAAACCACCCTAACATTGGAAATCCATTGGAAAATCAAAAATACGCATGTCGGATGAAATTGTTGTTGCTATCTGTTCCAATAACGAATCAACTGAATAACTAAATAGTGGTAAATTTTAGGAAAGCATGAACTTCTAGCTCTACACCAATTGACCAAGATAATTTATTTTCCATGAAATCTTGTATGGATCTGAAATTAAACATACAATCGTCTGTAAAATGTTGTAAGTGTAATGTAATTTTACAAAAGTATCACAACTTGGGGATGCAAAAAAAAAACTTATATTTGTTCTGAAGCAAACTCCAAATCTCAAATGTACATGTAATTAGTTCGTGTGTTCCTGAGATGATCATCATCAGGCTGTATAGTTTCAAGGACACAAACTGCTTCACGCACCGGAATGTGTTCTTCGGGTTGGTTTATTATATATCATCTATCATGAAACAAGAACATACAAGTTTCATCAGAGGTTTTCTTGTTGAATGTTATCACAATGGAAGAAAATAGCAAACTGAACACTAACCTTGATGAGGATCTTCGTGTACAAAGAAACTCGCAGCGACTATCAAATAACAAAGAATAAGCATTAATCCTTTGAAGTAATTCGATGTCCCTTCCTGCATAACAAACAAACACAGAGAGACATTTAAACAACTTCGAGGTTGGTTAGTTTTCGTATTTAGCTTCAAGATTTATTAACTCACCTGGAGAAAGAAAGCTACAACTATAACAGTTATGAAGAGTGTAGCTGTCTCAAATAGCTGGAAATTTAGATCCATTTGTTCACCCATCATCCATCCGATCACTACGCAGAATGGAACCTAAAATCCAATCGAGCAAAAGTCGAAACTATCAGAACCAAATCTGTTAAGTACTAGACCTCAAGTTGTTGACATTTCTTGTACGAACCGCAAACATAGAAATCTGAATTGAAGATCCAATAGCCACTCCTAAAGACAGATCCTGTAAAGAACAATAACAAATTTAGATCTAAAGAAGGAAAACCAAAGACATCGAAATGAAAGAGACTTGTCTGCATACCAGCTTGTCTTTCATGGCAAACATAATTGCACCTGCATGCTCGGCCGCATTTCCTACTATAGGAAGCAAGATGACACTGATAAAAGAGATTGGTATCTTCCATGAGACCGAAGCACCCTGTTACAGTTTGAAAAACAAAAACAAAAAACCATAAGCCAAACTAGTATACTCGCATTATAATGTTGAACTTATCATATGGATATGAGTCAAGATCTTCATAAGAATGAAATCCAGAAACAACGGGTAGTTAATCTACCTCTATGGCATCAACAAGATAGCCGGAAAGAAGAGAGACCCAAGCCGTCAAGATTGAAAGCCAAATGATAGCTTCCCACTTGGAAATCTCAGCTTCTTCATCATCTTCCGAAGTTTCTTCGTTCTGGTTCGTCTCCTATAATCCCGAATGATGAAAATGATTGTAACTTGTAATAAACAATTTTATATATGTAGTCATCTTCATTATCATTTCCAGGCTTTATGTAACCACCAAAGGTCCAAGACAACGAACCTCGGTAAGAGGGATATAAGAACTTGGTTGGCTCTTTAACTGGAAAAAGAGGTAAGCAGCATAGGCCACGAGCATTATGCAACTACTGAACCTTGAGAGAGCCAGCTCTGACGAACCGGCATGAACCTCGCTATGCGTGTAATGAAGAACAGCAGGGAAGAGTAGCCCCATGACAGCCATCAAAAGCAATCCCGAATTCACAACCGCATTCCCCTGTATTTGCAGAAGAAATAAGCTCAGAAACATTATACAGATTACAGAACAAGAGAGAATAAGTGAATGATAGATATGCCTACTTTGTCAAAGACTTGCTCTTTATGTGAAAATACAAGCCCGCCACAGAAGAAGGCGCAACCAAGCACAAGCAACATGTTAGAAAGAATCGATCCAAGTAGCGTCAGCTGTACAACGCGTATCATTCCACTTTTAAGAGCGAAAATCGATATGATCAGCTCTGTTACGTTTCCAAATGTAGCGTTTAAGAGCCCTCCAACTGTGGAAATTTTTTATAATAGGTCAAAAAAAAAAATCAGAAGAAGAGAAAGGAATCCTGAAAAAGAACTGTGTATCAGAATCATACCAGTTGAGCCTGTGTAACAAGCCAATTGCCTATCACAAAATAAACGGTTATGGTTAGTTACACGTAAATCTTGCTCGCATACGAGTTACAAAAGCGAGCAACAACTTACTCTGTGGCATATCCAAGACGCTCAGCCAAAGGTGTGATGCCTACTAAGCTCAGTAAGAAGATCCATCCCTAAGCCACAACAAGAATCATTTCTTGAAACAAAACAAGAACAGATGAAACTGCTAAATTGAGTACCGAAAACTAAAATTCCTCACCTTATTATCTGTCAAGTAGTGAAGTAATATTGCAAGAGGACCAAAAGGCAACAAGAGATTAAGTTTATTCGACAAAATCACAATCTTGAAGCTCTGTAACACACTGTTCTTAGGTGATTTAGCTGTCCGTTCTCGAAAACTTCCAGGAAGCGATCCTCCTTGTTCCATCAAAGAAGCTGCTTTCGTTTGCGGTGAATCTGTTTCTCGTCTAAAAAGACTTTTATGCTCAGCTTCATTAACCAAACCCATCTGTGTATTACAAGCAATCATATATCCATTAAGCTAACAATGAAGATAGCCAAATAATCGAGACAAGACATGATCCATGAACGAACTTACTTCTACTTGCGCCTGAATAAGAGCTGGCACCTTACAACAACCCATATACTACACTAGAATCTTGTCTTCTCTTCTAGAACCTGGAGATTGAAAGACATTGAACACAAGTTAATCTAAAAGCTTAGGAACAATCATCAACATCAAAGAGCAAGATTGTATGATTCAACTGATAATGCATTACTCTAAAAGCCTAATCTTTCTATGAAATCACTCCAAATTAATCAAATTTATGGTTGAGATAACAATCACCAGCATCATTAATTCACTACATTGACATAAAGCAAATTGAATTCGAAGTTGTCTAAATAAAAAACAAAGCTTTAGTCAAAACCCAAATCTTGTGACCAAAGATCCTACGAATCAAAGAAACTTGTAAAGAGTTTTACCTAGTAGTCAACGAAACGGTCAGAGATTAAAGACTTTGAACAAGTTCATTAAGAAAAAACCAAGACACTAGTTTGGTTTCTTCTTCTTGTTCCGATCTGCGGAAAAAAAAACAAAAGTGAGAAGCTTTGTGTAAAGAAATAGTTGGTACTTGAAGGAACACAATAAAGATCTCAGTGATTTGGTGTGATTAAAAAATCTCAAAAGATCTCAGATTTCAGTAAAGAGGAAGTTTCCTTTGTGCCTAGTGATTTTTCATCCGTTGAAGAAGAAAGACAAAGTTTCAA